GAAAAAAAGAGAAATGACTCCTAGAGAGTGTTGGCTATCCGTCGTGGAAATGAGGAGAGGTTATTGTAGAGGCGTGGTAAGTGGGTTATCGAACGTGAAAGTGGCGTGGGAGTAAAATTTTCAGCAAGGAAAGAAGATGATGCATGGAAGACGATGTGAAAATGACTCTTGGCGTTGGTTTCGTGTTGTATTTGGAGTGATATTTTGAATTTTAGCATAACTTTTGTAACATGTCAAACCAGAATTTAATGTAGACTATGCAAGGTATTTTTATTTTAAGAAACTAAAAATATCCAAAAGAAACAAAATTGACAAAATTAGTGAAATGATATTTTTGTAGATGAATTAGCGGATTATGATGTATGATGGAATTTTCCTCATTTTTAACTTGCATACGGTCCCCTTGAAAAAAGAGAGAGGGAGAGAGAATTGCAAAAAATGTCCACTTTCACATGATCATTAGCAAAAATTCCCCAATTTGTTTCATGTTCATTTTACTAAAATTTAAATCAAAATGCCCTTAGTAACAATTTCAAATTCATAAATTAAAAATGCCCTTAAGATATTGTGACAAACCATAAACTTAGACCTAACATGTACTAGATATTTGAAAAACACTACAACAAAAACCATTATTTGCCCTAACCCAACATAAACTGTCTCTATCTCATTCTTTCATGTCTCTGTGTGCCACCATGACACTAGAAGCTTCCCACGCCATGCCAGTCGCCATCCAGAGCCAAGCCAGTCGCGACCAACCCAAAACTCATCATCTATTTGAATCTCCCTCTCACCTCTCAACTAAAGCAATCTCTCACGTTGCGCCTCCCATCACCACGACAGTTGCCTAGGGCACGATGTTGATGATAGTTTACAAAGACGTTCACACATTAAGTTGTGCAGGCTATTTATTTGAAATTGATTTTGTGCATGTGTTCGGATGACTGCTAACTTATATTTTGTGTGGTTTTTTTATTTCTAAATTGTTGCTCAAGATATTAATACTTGTAGATTAATAGACTTTCTCTGAGATATTGAAGGCAGAAATTTACTTTCTTTATTCAATTCAAATATTAGAGCATGTTTTCCTAGATTCAAAACCTCGTTCCTGAAGATGAAATGTCAAGTATTGAGATTAGAAGATACCAAATGTGATTGTGCGTCGAATGTGATTGTGTGTCAGAGTATTGTATAGGTAACGTACTCCATGTTTGTTGTTTTATATCAAAATTCATGTTATGTTAATGTCGTTTAACTTGGGAACATTTTTTAAGCTTGACATGCCATTCTTGATAGTTGAATCATCAAATGTTTGAATAATATATATAGAATGACAAATCAACTGTTATTTTTTTCTATTTTCTTATCAACCACACAATCTTCAATAAAATAATATTACACGTAAATTCAAAAAAAATTCCTTTTTTTAACCACACATTCTCCAAAAAATTACTATTCCTCTCATTATAATATGGAATAATAGGGGCCAAACGGGCACTTAATCAACTGTGCTAGATTCCTACATGTCTGCATGTTAAGTCTGAAATGCCTGCACTAGCCACATTTTTGTGTTTGTCGACCTTTTAATTTTTGACCGTTCACATTGGGTAGGAGGTTGTCCTAGTGCTCTATGTATGTTTGGAGACGATACATTGATGGAACGGATGGCATGTTGAACAAGCTAATCGGACTTCCTTCCCACAAGGTAAATGACTTTGTTGTACGCAACAATGACTTGTTGAACAATCCAATCGACTCCATTCTCGAACAATTTATTGACAAACTCCTCATATTAAATGTCACTTCGAATAACAATTGATGTTGTCCGGTTCTCAAATCACTTCCAATCGTTATCCACATTGATGAAGATACCACAATGCGAGATAACAAACCTCATGACATTCCTCATACTTGCATGCCATCAACACAAATATGATCAACACACAAATACCTAAAACGAATATGTTATCCACATGCAATATGTTAAACGCTAAACACAAAATGTTTCCTAACTTCATCCGGTTTAAACCGTCATTCTAGACAATTGGAAAAATGTCAAGAATTACATTTAAAATATCATTCTCAACGTTTAGAAAATGTCGAGAACGATATGACGAGATTACACCACACCACGTGTAATTATCATCTTCTTCGACCACTACTTTTTCAAAGAATTCATTTTTACCATTAATGACACGGTCAATAAACAATTACCTTAAATTCCTATCTATCTAAGTTATTTAAGAAGGATGTGATACAATATTTGATAAACACATCTCAATGAACAATAATTCTTTTTTTAAATACTCCAATAATCTTACGACAAATCTTGACTAATTGTTTGGGATAATCTAATCAATTTTCATGAAATATACAACAACAACTATTAAACACAACTTATCAACACAAACAAGATTTCGAGAAAAGAAAAATTACTTTCCACCGAGAATTGTGGAGAGCCCAATCAACTCGCAAAATTTGAATGATATTAAGCCCTTGTTTGGGCTCCATTAAAAATGAATTTTGGGGGAAAGTGTATTTTGAAATAGATTTTTTTTTTTTTAAGAATGTGTGGTTAAAAAATAAGGAAATTTTTTCGTTTAATATGTAATATTATTTTATTGACATATGTGTGGTTAAAAATATGAGAGAAAAAAATACATTTTCTAAGGAAAAAAAGAGCCCAAACAGGGGCTAAATTTTTCAGAATGAAATTATATGAATTTCTTATGAGTTGAAAGTATACAGATCTTTGTTAGTGTTTAATGATTTTCTACTTCTCCATTTTCCTCAAAATAATTGATCAACACCCAGTAGATAATGCAAGTAAATGGATCCAATAGGTAATAACTAGCATTATTGAAACTTATCATGGAAGCTCCTTGTTAGCCTCGGAATTTGTCAAACACTCAATAAATTTTTATTTATTTATTTTTACTTTATTTTTCATCAAGGGTAAAATAGATATTTTGATGTCAAATTTGGTCATTTTTGTAAGGATAATTATGTTACCACTACGAATTTTATTAAGTGCGTCATAATTTTTAGTATTTTTCTCATCTACTTAAATAGCTTTAAGTGAAGTTATGTAATTAGAGTTTTAATGTACCTTGTAATAAAATAAATTATTATTCCATCACAAATACAAAGCTAAATTTTTCTTTCCAATTTTTTTTGTGCCATGACAGAGAAAATGTGAGATTTAGACCGTTTGGATATGGTTCATCCAATTGTGCTACACAAACATGCTCAAAGATATGTTCGAAAACAGGGAGACACGTGTCGACACATGATTGAACAGTTTGAAAGAAATAAAAATACAATACCCAAGTATTATCTATCACATCACCCAGGGACGAATCCAGGACCGGACGACAGGGGGGCTAATACGTAAAAAACAATTACACATGAAATTTTTTTTTTACATAAATTTTTTTTTTCCCAAGTAAAAAACCCCCCCCCCCCCCCCCCAATCCGTCCCTGACATCACCTTTTCCTTCCATGCATATCCTTGAGCATGTCCAAAGAGCATTATCCATGATTCATCTAAATAAATGTGATACTAGTGCAGGTGTGCAAAGTAACAAGAAAATCAGTAAATTTGCTAACTTTCAGAAAAATGTCAAAACTCAATAGCACATCCCAAGATACAGAGGAAATTGGCAATGTCCTTGCCTAGTCCCTCCTCTTTGCTTGCATGGAACACTGCGCCCTTATCGAATGGCTATTCGCCAAGTATAAATTCACCCATCTCTCCACATTTCATTGCATTGAATTATTTTCCTTTTTTTAAATATTTTGTAAATTTTGCAGATTATTCGGTGATAAATCCCCGTTCTCACAGCAAAATTACAGGAGGTGGAGTGTTTTAAGGAGCATAAAATCTTTTTCCAGTTTGATTTGTGGTTGGAGGCTTTGAATTTATGCATTTAACATATGAATAAAAATCCAGAGTTGAATATATGTTTGCAAAAAAAATTTATTGAAAATATATTTTAATTGCGGCGTGATTACAACGCGGTGTACAGAGACGGATGGAGAGGGGAGCTGGGATGGGCTATAGCCCAGCCCTAGCCCAGAAGCAAATTGACTTGTAAAAATGGAAAAGTTAACCCAAATTCATAGTGGAAATAAAAAAGAATAAAAATTTAGCCCAGTTTAAAAAGTTAATTTTAGCCAAACTAACTTCATTTCTAACCCCTAGCTCAATGTTCAATTATTCAAATTTAGTTTAAAACTATACAACAATTACATATTCATGATACACAAATAACTCATTACCAAATTAGATATTTTATTTCACGGACATATATATAACTAAGTTTAAAGAGTTCACTTATAATCAAGTTAGTTTATTATATAACAAATAATTTTTATTGATTAAAAATAAATGGCTTATTTGAACAGTATGAAATGCCACATGTTTGACTAACCTTAAAAGTAATTAAATTTTTTTATAATGTATTTTTCATATATTACTCTATTTTAAGGCCTTGGGATGATCCATTATAGAACTTGTGTCTATACTCCTCAGCAAAACGGAGTAGTGGAACGAAAACACAAACATCTTCTTGAGATTGCTAGATCCCAGATGTTTCATTCTAACTTACCTAAACAATTCTGGACATATTCTCTGTTAATGGCAACCTTTCTTATTAACAGAATACCTACCCAGATCTTGAAATGGCTTACTCCATTTGAAAAACTATTTTGTCGTAAACCTGATTATACTCTCATCAAAACCTTTGGATGTTTATGTTACATCGCTAACACCAAACCACATAGAAGAAAATTTGACACTAGAGCCCATAAATGTGTGTTTCTTGGTTATAATCCAGGGCAAAAGGGATATAAAGTCTTTGACATTGATTCCAAACAAATTTATGTATCAAGGGATATAAAATTTTTTGAGTCAGTTTTCCCTTTTGGAAATAAAAAATAAATTGATTCTTCTCCTTCACCCCCTTTGATTCTAGACTTAGATGAAGACCAATTTGATCCTAATACTTCATGTTCTGACGCTGAATCCTTTCCTGAAGTATCGCAGAACAATTTGCAAGACAACAATTCACCCTCCCTTGATACATTATCTGATCCTGTTCCTCTTTTTCAAGTTCCTTTCTTGGATGATTCCTTACCTGACCACAACCATACATCCACGAACCACCAGCCGGGACCTTCTGTTCTTCCTACTAGACAGAGTACTAGAGCTAGACCACAACCTCTTTGGCTACATGACTTTGTTACAAATTTAACTGCCACACGGGTCTTGCCAACAGCTGAGGTCGATTCAACTTGCAAAAAGGAACCTCGTTCTTTTAAGCAAGCTAGCCAGAATGAGGAGTGGGTTAAAGCTATGCAACAAGAGCTTGATGCTCTGGAGGCTAATGAGACTTGGGAGTTAACAGATTTACNTTAAATTTTTTTATAATGTATTTTTTCATATATTACTTATTTATACTTGTGGGTTAAAAATTTTATTTATTTCGACTATAAAATGGATGTTATTATCAAAATAAGTAATATACTATATATTTAATTTTATTAATTAAAAATATATTTGTTAGAACTTTGTTACGAGTGTCCAAAATATATTCTGACCCACATCATTACGAGTGTCATGAATTTAACATTTTAAACTAAATCTTGTATGGTATAGAGCAATCATTGGGAAAAATAAATAAATATTTCAGTCCACCATAGCATATCTTTTTGTGTGCACGCTCGTGGTGTAGTAAATAAATTTGAAGGTGGTATTATATTATCATTTTTGTAATAATGAACAAAATTAGACACTTTTCTATTCACGCAAGCATGAAATTCGGACATTTTTGTAAATTCCAAAAAAAAAAAACCTAAAAAAAATCTATCTAAACAAATCGGCGATTCCCCCTCGTTTTGTAGATTTCCCAAATTCAAATTGAAAACCTATAAACCAAGATTCAAACTGTGTTGGTTTACATGGAATTCGAGTATAGAACTGGAATTGGTGAAATATTGGAGATGAAACAGCATTTATATTGGAGATGAATTTGGGAATCTTATTTCAATGTAGTTAGAATCATAATCACTAATGATCTCAGTTAAAACATTAGCTTTCTGTAAGCTAGATAACATGGCAACTTTTACGTCTCCATAAAGATAACTTTTTTGGATATGAGTTTACAAAATTCAAAGAAATAATTACATTTCAACTATATATATAGTTCTCAAAACTTAGGAATACACACATTCACCCTATTAGAGAAGTATGACCTTATGAATTGGGGGATGAAGAAGGAAAGATACTCTATCCTATGACATAAACTTAATATAAGCCATTACAAACATTTTCTTGTTCTACCTTGAGATGTATATTTACATTTTGCGTTTTTTTTTTTTTTACCGATCATTTTACCTCATTTGGAAGTTCAGTTTCTTGATGCAATAGGCATACAAGAATGCAAAGAAGACTGTGAAACCAACCAAAACTGCCGCAACTGGTCCTTTAAAGTTGGGATCATAACCAAAGTGATCTTGAATATAGTTTTTAATCATAGGGTCGAAGGACATCCCAGGCACGTCAATGGTCTCCTCCACATCGCCATACTGGCCTATAATAAGTCCGTACACTGTCCATGCCACTGGGCAAATCCAGTAGTACCATACCCACCACTTGGGAATGCTCTGAAATTTCAAACAGGGAAAATTTCAAAACTGTGCTTAATTGGAGATCATTATTAAACTTAATACTTTTGACTTAAATAACTTACCGGTCTGGGGATAAAGAAACCAGAGAATAGATTGAAAAGTGCATAAAATGCTGCTGCAAAGATTGCTGCCACTTGGTGGTTTGGCGTGATGGAGACAGTCATCATTCCGTAGTATGTGAAGTAGAGAAAGGAAAAGAAGTTCACGAAGAAGAACCAAAAGAATTTAGCTGCTGTCCACTGAAAGCTCACCATGGCGTACACTATAAGAGTATAATATGTAGTCTGAACAAGTACATAAGGTATTTCTACAATGACCTGCATATGTGATGTAACAAACAAACCATTATTAAATATATTTTTTTAACTACATTTATGCTCTTTATTAACTTCTCCATTTTGACAAGTCACAAGTTGATCTCTCATGCTATGAAAAGCATGTTAAGATGAAGATCGTTCAATTGATAAATTAAAAATTCACCTGTGCAATGGCATATGGCAATGCTGAGTACATTCCTGCAGATCTTTCCCTATAGAATACAGTTCTTTCGATGGCTACTACCGGCTGTACTGTTGAGCAGTTATTGATGCCAACAAACAACACAGAAGTATACATGGCCCCGATGATAGTCAAAAGATCTGCACTGCTTTCCCTGATGCCACAAAATAAGAAAGATGGAATCAGCACCTTGGCCTTCGAGTCTTTTTACTGATACTTTTTAATAATTTCCCAATTAACCAAGATTTAGAGTATGAACCTTTTTTTGCCGACCCTCCAGAAAATTGTCCCAACCATGAGTGCACAAGCCAGAGTGAAGAAGTATCTGACTAGATTATAATCAGGACTTCTCCAGTAAGTCCACCATTGCTTCCAGAGGCAGGACTTGAATTGACCCCATGTGGCTTGAGAGTACTGTGTAGGAAAATATAGGTCTTTTGCCCCCGGAGGGGGTGTACTCAAATCTTTCACTAGAACCTTGTTTCGCCTGGGAATGGGCAGATATGTATGAGATCAATGTTTCTGTGAATCTTGTAGAGATTTAGTAGAGGTATTCATTGTTACTCACTGATATAAGGTTGATGATTTGTAGTGTTCAGCAAAATCCATCGAAAGTCTCGCTTCTGTAGCCACTGAGCTCACTTCGAGCATCCATGTAGCAGGATTATATTTCTCTTTAATCCTTGGGACTCCTGAAATTGCCTGCATTGTGCGGGAGATCTTTAATATACTTTCTTTCAATTGGCAGAAATGTATATGGAGTATGAGTATGAAGTACCTCAAAATATTCAATTATTTTTTGTGAATGCTGGCCTAATGGTCCAGCATATATCACTTGTCCTCCTCTTTTCATGAGAAGCAGCTGATTCATAATATGATATAGACAACGTCAGTGAAAAAGAGGTAGAGAGGGAATGTTTGTTTTGTGGGTATGACATGGGAATCATTTAAGGGGGTTGGCGAGACTAATCAACTGAAAGTTGCATTTTACCTCATCAAAAGCTTCAAATATATCGATGCTAGGCTGATGAATTGTGCAAACCACAGTTCTACCTGTGTCCACAGTGTTTCTCACAGTCCTCATGACAATTGCCGCTGCTCGTGCATCTAAGCCAGAAGTTGGTTCGTCCATGAATATGATTGAAGGGTTAGCAACTAGTTCAACTGCAATGGTCAATCTCTTTCTCTGTTCTGTTGACAATCCAGTAACTCCTGGGATCCCCACGATGGCATCTTTGAGATTGTCTAGTTCAACCAGATCCATCACTTCATCCACAAAAGCCTGCAAAGAGTACATATGAATGATGTATTTTAGTGCATAAACTGAGAAACAGTTACAGCATCATATATTTAGGAATATTATGCTGGAAAGAAGAATGTACCATCTTTTCTTCCTTGCTAACTTCTTTAGGCAGCCGAAGAAAGGCAGAATAAATCAATGATTCACGAATGGTTACTTGAGGTGAGTGGATATCGTTTTGTTCACAATATCCCGAAATTCTAGCAAAGGTTTCTTGTATCTTTGGAAATCCAGATATTCTAATGTCACCTTCAATGTAACCACCAGTCTTTCGTCCGGCTAGAACATCCATTAGCGTGGTTTTTCCTGCTCCACTTACTCCCATCAATGCAGTCAGAACTCCTGGCCTAAATGCACCAGTTACTTCACGAAGTAATTGGAGTTTATCTTCTGTCACTCCTTGTTCTTTCATTTCCTGTTCAAACCAGCGAAGTTTGTTATTGAAAGATAGTTATATTAGCTACTGATTTCTTATGAAGACCGCTATTTGTTGACAACATTTGAGCATGAATGAGAAGGATATTGATTCTTACAGGAGGCATGTCGACAAAGTAATTTACAGTGTCAAATGACATAGCCAGAGGTGTGAATGGCAGAACCATCCCTCTCTTTGGAGTAACGCCTAATGCAGCCTCAAGGTTTGAGTCTTGATTTCTATATAGTCCATTGGCATTGGAATTGTTGCTCATCCATTGCATTGCCATTTCTCCTAATTAGATAGATAACCATAGGAAAAACAAAACATGTGAGAAAATTTGATATTTCTAACAAAAATCATTGATGAATTTAATGATTATTACTTGTGTTATTTCCATCAGCAGCAGATAAGGATCGAGGAAGAGATTCTTTCTTTGACATTGTCGTTCTAAGCCTTGGTGCTTCATTTGTTTCTTCATGGCCAGTTTCCATATCCCTTGCCATCTCTTTGGATATGATAGCTTGTGGCTTTCCAAGAGCTATTTTGTAGAACAGAAGAAAGAGAGATCAGTTGCCTGATAAAGAGAATTTGGATTTGTATGTTAATTGCAATGTTAAAACTTACGGTTAAGGTACATGAGGGCAAAGGTGTAAAGAACGTTGAAGAGAATTGTGAACCCAATGAGGGCACCTACGCCTATCCAGTACCAGTTTCTTTCAGGGAAGATATCAAAGTTGGTCAACACTGCCGCACCCACTCTTGTCACGTTGTCTTGTGCCTGTATGGAACCATTTAATCAGCTTAAATTTTGTTTCTCCATGGGTGAGCTCGCCAAATAACAGGAACGAAAAAAGATAAATCTCCTTTTAAAATGACCGGGAATGCTGGTTGAATGCCGAGTATGACACATTGCTACACTGTGTCATTGAAAATCAGATGAAAAATAAGTTGGAGGAAATGTATAGGAATGTACCATTTTGTTCATCCATCTTGGAGCAAACATCTCATTTACTGCAATCGCATTGTAACCATAGCTCAGAGGTGAAACCCAGTATCCCCACCTCCACCAGACAGGAATTTTTTCTGCATATTAAAAAATTCTGAGTAAGTTCGATGTATCATGTATATTGTTAAATATATATACTGAGTATCAAAATCCCTTTGTTTGCTCTATTGTTGTTTTGGTACACTTCATTTGTCCTTGTATAAATGAGAGATTGGTTGTTCTCTTAGAGTACTTTTCTTCTTCAGTTTTACTTTGAAAACTTCCTGGCTTTTTTTGGTTTAAAAGTTTTAAAGTAAAAATTACTAATTTATTGGAAGAGAAGAAGAAAAAGAAAGAAAGACATGATCTGGTACATAGTACATTCTTGCTGTTGATAAAGAAGCAATTGCAAGTCTACTAAAACGATCGAGTTTGAAGGTTTATTTTCACGTTATTAGCAATAGGCATGCATTATATAATTTATCTTCTTATTGCTCTCTTTTGTTGTTTACGTTATATGTTGACTGTGTTTCGAAATTATAAATGTGTTCTGCAATTTGTAGTGGGGTTTTTGTGCTTGAACTAACCTCTTGGAAGGATGAAACCACCCAAAAGGAACACGAGCAGAAGGGTAAGAGCACCACCAGTGTTTGAGATAATCATGGTCCTGCATATTGCTGCAATGAGCCTAAACATTCCCCCTGCCATTTGCTGGATCACAAATATCAATAATAGTTGCTTGAAGAACCTGAGAACGTGGCAAAAGATTCAGTTTCACTCGTAGTTACATTGCATGCGAGAATTATCTGTTTTAGAAAGCAAGTATAATTAGAACAAGAGTTTAGTATGGATTCCTGCTAAATTGTTCGTTGCTTTAGGACACTGCCAAAGAGAGTGGATTATGTGTTCTACTGTTTCTTCCATGTGCCTACATGTACCTGATTCCATGTACTTTAGGAGAGATGTTGACTGACTATTAACATTATACTATATTCTTCCCAGTAGCCATTAGTCTGTACCATATCCTCTGGCCTTTGTCCCTGATTGATTACATGCATACACTTCTACATTAACATAATTTGTGAAATCTTTTGAATGGCTAAGCTCCATCAAAAAATTATGTTTGGTAGTTCGATTCAATACTTCTCTTAGGTTTGGAATTATGTCCATTAACTTATCAAAACTTGAACTCAAGTTAGTCCATGTAATTTTATATAATCATTGACTCTGTCAGTTGAGTGGAAATAAGAAGTGAGAAAACGTAATGTATAGTTTAAATACCTGCTAGCTTCGGGGGCAAATCCAATGGTGTAGTATGTTATGACCATCCACACAATAGTCTCTAATACGGATATAGGTAATTTTAGTAGAAACGTTGGCAAAGTGAAAGTCCAAGGTGGATGGAAATGAAGATCCCTCTGCTTGTAGAAGACGGGAAGTCTCTGTATGGCGAGAGAGAGCTCTGCAAAACCATTGAATGTATTGCATACCATGCTAAACAATAGTGCACCTATGTAGACAGCACCATCATTTTCATCCCTAGTGTGTAATTTAGTTCTCAAAAAGACAGTAGATGTGATGATTGCCACAATGATGATTTGGATAGTCTTGAATACATAGACGAAAGAATTTCTTTTGATCAACAGCCATTCCTTGTCGAAGTTGGCTTTGAGAAGTTCTCTTTTTGGGACTGAGTACCTTTTAAACACTAGAGCTGCTTTGTGACTTCGGCTCTTGTCAAAAGGGAGTGATAGTTCATTTTCAAGCCGTAGACCCACATGGAAACGTTTGAATCTGTTTGCAAATTCGCTAACTGGAATGTATTTGTATGGTTTGCTTCTGTCTATCCAGTATTGCTCCTGATCTTTTCTTGATGTCACCTCTTGCAGAAAATCGGCAGTTCCCTTTCTCTCTGGACACGTAAATCCACAGCTCTCGAAGAACTCGAGGATGTGCTCTCGTGGGCCTTGATAGACAATCTGGCCTTCCGATAAGAGGATGATATCATCAAAGAGTTCAAACGTCTCTGGAGCTGGCTGGAGGAGGGACATCAAGATGGTTGCTTCGGTTAGGTGTACAACTTGTTGCAAGCACTTTACTATCTGAAATGTTGTGGAGCTATCTAGGCCCGTTGATATTTCGTCCATAAACAGTGTTTTGGTTGGCCCAACAATCATCTCCCCTGCATCAATAAAGGTCAAGATTCAAAGCCTAACATATATGTTTATGTTGCTATTTTCATATTACATTTTGCTAAATATGATACTTTGTTCAACTAATATGTTCAAAATTTTCTTTTTATCTGAGTTTTAAATCTATAGACCTTCTGTATTTTCTATTAGACATTCTATTTTTCTTCTATTGTGCCAATGATTTGGTTGTAGATAAAAAAATATTACATGTAGAACACGTACTCGGCCATCCCTTGGGCTGTGGAATTTTTTTTTTTTTAAATATAGAGGTGCTTTAATTTGTTGACATCACACAAGTGATTTTCTACAATTGTGGCTACTCACAGAATGCGTTTCAAGTCATCTTTGTGCAGATAAGGTTAGGTAGTTCAACTTTAGGATTTGGTCAACAGATTTGTAGTGCCTCTCTGTGTCACTTGGTAAAATTATTTTCCAAAATAATCAAAAACATAAATCATGTTAATTAATTACCAGTTGTCACACGCTTCTTTTGTCCTCCTGAAATTCCTCGAATCATTTCATCTCCAACAATAGTGTCTTGACACACATCAAGTCCCAATATCTGCATTACATAAACAAACAAAATATTATTAATATATCTGTACATGTGTGTGTATGAATTTGAAGTTAGATTGAGAGTTTCCGTAATTTTGAAAAGAATCGCACTATTCGTACCGGGGATGTACAACCCCCCTACCGACCCCCTCACATGAGGGGGGCCCACATTTTTGAGGGGGCCGGTAGGGGGGTTGTACACCCCCGGTACAAGGAGATTTTTCCTTTTGAAAATGTCGTTACTGGGTCCCTCAATATCCAGCCAGCAGAAATATGGGTCCCACGGTAAAGTAGGTAAGGCGAAATTTTTGACCCAAAAAAGAAAGAATTATTAAATAAAAGAAAATATATGGAAAATATGGAAACCCCACGCGAGAATAGACAATCATGAGTTGATTATATATGTTGGCAATCCCAAATATTATTTTTTGATGAATAACTAGACTTAATTAAATCTTACCCTGAGAGTATAGTCTGTAATGAGACTGCTCTCTACTCCTTCCATTGCAGTTGCCTGTGAGAAAACAAAAGAGAATCATGTTAGGTGTACATTTTCTTACAATGTTGGTTGACAATCATATTTATCAAAATCACATTCATCTATTTGAAAATTGACAATCATATTTGTCAAAATTACATTCATCTATTTCAAACAATGTTTTTAAAATTAATGGTCCGGATTTTGACAACATTAATGTTGTCATCCATCATTGTCAAAGACAATTTTACAAGTAGATTAATTCAACAAAAGAAGGCACAAAGATAAAACATGAAAAAAGTCGACCAAAAAGGGGAAATTTAAATTTAAATTGTTGGTAATATTATTTTATTTTTTCATTACCTTCATAAAAAGATCAACCTCTGCCTCTGGAAAGATACCAGCATCCCTTTCTCTTCTTGCCAGTTCAGTTAAAAGTTCTATTTTAATTTTGATAGTTAGAATACAATTATTTCAATGAAAAAAAATAATGATTATGAAATTTATCGAACTTACCATATCGAGATCCAACCCCTTGACACCTAGCAGAGAAGTCTAGAGTTTCTTTGACTGTCATTTCTCCTACATGAACATCATTTTGGCTTATGTACGCTGATGTCTTCTGTGGTACAAATTCATTGAGTTGATGTCCATTGTATGTGATTTCTCCCCTTGTCTGTTCCACATTAAAATTTTTATGCAAATTAAGTAAAGAGTTGTTAATCTCTATCAATAACATTCATGGATAATGTAGGTGTGAATTTGACTAACCTTTAGGGTCGGATCTAACTTTCCTGCCAAAGCTAACAAAAGGGTTGTTTTCCCGGACGAAGGTGGCCCTAACAGAAGTGTCATCCTACGAAATGTAACCGATAGAAACACATCAAGATTATCGAACATAGTATTTGAATTTGATTTTTAGCTAAGTAATTTTCGGATTAAAGTCAGCAGCTATAATTTAGATTGATTGTTTTGAGATGTAACAATGTTTTGAGCAATGAATTTTTGTTCAAAACATTACCTAGATGGTTTTATGATACCAGAAACATCTTTTAATATTGTGAGTTTCGTTTTTTCAGCCAATCTGATGCCGAAACAACTTAATGCTGTCTCAGCAATGTTACGAGCAGCGTTTGGCAGTGTCGGTAGAGCTCTGTCGCCTACTAAGCAATCTGCCTCGACGGTCAAGTGATCATATCTCACTTCTACTGTAGGAAGGGTAATCCCAACTCTGCAATTACAAGGTGCATAAAAAAGAAAAACAATTAATATCTAAATAGGAAATAAATTAGATTACTTAGTCAAGCATACAGGCTGTACTTCATATGAAATAGCTTATATTTAGTAATTATATGCTTCTTCTTTTGTCATCACTGATTACATCAGTATAACATACGTTACTGATTTGATTAATTAATAATTATATTATAATACAGTACAATTTTATTGTTGAACTGTTACTTGAGAATCATTCCTTGATGCAGTGTAGAGTAAATTAGCAACACGAAATTATGCTGTTTTGGTTTCTTTTTCGTGTTTGCTTGCTTTTCATGCAATAAATTGTTTGATAAATATAGTGATTAATTATATTTCTTGAAAACAACTTCCTCATAATTATGCGTAAAACATAATTAACAAATGACTTCAAACTCAAAATTTGCTTTTACTTTTTCAATGTAAGAAGGGTATAGTTGGTTATCCTTCGTTCTCTATTTGCATGAGACGGAGAGAGATAGTTTGATTATGGATGTACTAATTGTACAATTTATGTAAATATAAAATAAAAAATTGGTGTAGAAAAGGTTACCTGTCAACTCTATTCCTAAACTTTCTCAAGAACTTTTCATTATCTTCTTCAGCCACCTTGAAAAGCCTATCGATGAATTCTTGTCGATCGTTCATGTCAAGTTTTCTTACATCAACCTCCTTGTGCACAACCTTATTGTTTTGATTGGCAGTTTCTTCGAAGGATTTTAGGACAGTTTTCCGTAATCTGTCGTAGGTTGGTAACTTCTCTAGAGCAGCCCATCGTAGAGCTTCTTCATCTTCCTCGGCTCGAATGCTCCGCCTATTCGTGGAGCCGGAAAAGACATCATCCACATTCCAACTTGCCCTGCTTAGGCTTCTACCAGTAGTCCTGCTCGTACTCCGGCTTGTTTGTCTTCTTGAAGCTCGCATTTTATCGTCCATTTTCCCTTCTGCTTACTTTAGTTTAAAGGAAAAAAGAAAATCACAACTAGCATAATATATCTCTAGAAAATCCCAAAAAACATATAAAAGGAACATCAAGAATATGAAATGAAATGTTTACTTAGTTGAGGTCGAAAAGTTGAGAGAGTGTATGAACGTCGTAGTCGTCGTCTTCTTCCTCAAACGGATGAATGGAGAAATAGATGGCTATATAGGGCACAAGGAAGTTGTTGGGATGTTGACATATAAGTTATTATACTTTGACCATTTCTAAACCAGTTGAAAGAGTCACCTCATGTGTTCAGACTTTAGAGAGAGTAAAACTGGTTTGTCAAGATCAATATTTCCAAGAAGAAGTACATGGATTCTTATATATAAGCAAGCTTACTTGTTTGGTGGGGTGGCGTGGGGTGGGGGGTGGGGGCCCTACTTATTCTCGCATACACATATAATTGTACAAATAAAAATCTGATTTTAATCTCAAGTCAAAGTCAACAATTAATTTTAACCACACATTTTATGGGACCCACAACTTTTCAACCACACATTCCATCAACTTTTATGAAAATCTACTAAAAATTTAATTTTAATCTACAACAAACAGTTCCATATGTACAAAATCTACTCAAAATCTGATTTTGATATACGACAAACAGAGGCATATTTTATCTTTATATCACTGTTCTCAATTTGGCTACATCAATACTGAAGCAAAAGTATTCAATTTGGTGAATAGAGACAAATGAATATATTCAAAGAAGAACAGCTTATGCAAGCAAATGTGGATTGGTGAGGAAAGAGTCAAAACAATCCGCCTCTGGGAAAGTAAGGGTGCACTTGCATACCATGTCGGATTTCGTAAGCCGGTTCATAAAATATAATTAGAGTCTCGGCTGTATTATTATTTCGTAAATTAATTTTATCGTCAAGCTGCCTGCCTGCCTGCATATCTTCTATATATTAAAAGTAGTTATATAACGGAATTCATTGTTTTTAACGGAAAAACTAACGGAATTTGTTATTTTAACGGACTATGTAATGAAATTTCTTATTTTAAACAGACAGCTGTACCTTCTTTCAGTATTTATATCATAACTTTGTATTCCGATATCCGATTGAGGCGATTCAAAATGCGTTGGAAAGCTAACTCATCTGGCTACAACTTTGATTCAGACATCATTATTCAATTGGATCACTTTCTATGCCAAAAATA